GGAAGGAAGATTACTTTAACACACTGCGCATGCTCTGCTCAGTGCTATAGTCAAAAACATGCTCAGTATCAGCACTGTGCACGTGCGGGAACATCGCCGCGCAGAACATAATTTAATCGATAACCACCTGCTTTACCGTCCCGTTCCATAAACCAAGCCGTAAGAGACAGAGCCAAAATCACTTATACAAAGCGCAGATGGCAAGGAAACTGGTGTGGACAATGACTACCTACTACCCTTCCGCACTGACAGCGAAACAGAGAATACAGCCAAGTTCACTAACAAAATTAATTTGCAATTACATGCTCAAATTTCCATGTTTTCCTCTCGATTATTTAGGCTTTTGGAAGAACAAAATTCTTCTTCGGAACTCTTGTCAGCTCTCAGCTGTTAAAATGGGTGCAGTCTCTCAGGGAGCAATGGACCACGTTATATTATTCGACCACGAAGTTCGTAAATTCTTTGCTGAACGATATAAGACTACGACTCCGAAAATTCTTAACTATTATATTAAACTTTTTTTCTGTTACGATTCATTCTCTAGTGTCATTCAAGTACGTGATCGTTCATAATTCTATGCAGCTGAATTTAAAATGGTACCAGTCCCAGGTCCTTCCTATTTTCTGAGAATCAAAATTTTGAAGATTATGAAGACCACATTAATGTCGATTTCTGTCTTCTGGGTTGTTGCGCTGTCGCCCTGATGACGGAGGCAGTATGACCTATCTACCAGACTACACAGCGCAATACTTCATACTCACCACTGTGAAAACCTCAAATCATATACAATAATGTCCTTACGTGTTCGTCTGATTCGCAGAAAACTGTCAGTAGAAACTCTCAGAGAAAAGAAGTCCAGTATACAGAGAATACTCGGATTCAAGATAAAGAATACGATCGATATGACACGGGGAAAGAGCTCCACCAGCGGAAGACGTATCCCGTACGCCACAACTGACGAGGAGGACAAAATGTCCTGGTTCACTTTGCCAGCTTCCTCACATCTAGCAATACGCCTAAGGAGGTCTCAAAATCTGTTAAAAAAATCTGATAAAACAAAATAATTACAAGAAGAAACAATTTCGTTCTTTTGCTAAAATAGAATTCTTGTTATGTTCGAATTCTCTTTCCTTTATTGTTTGGATGTAATGCTCTGACAACTAAATTATCGCTATTAAGTAAGCATAACTAAAAAAATTATTTCAATATCGATATAACATTTACCAGTAAAGAGTAAACACACTAGGCCTCTATCTGCCCCTTCTCCACCTATTCAACTACGTCTTAAAAAAATAAAGACAATAATAATGTAATTGGACTTTAATCCATTGACTTCAGCTCACCTTTTGAATTCCTGTATTTCTCACTATTTATACAGACACTTCATTCTCATTTCCGCAAAAAAGAGTATTACTAACTTGTGAAGCGGAATCAACCCTAACGTCGAATATGGCTGTCTTGCTAGTTGTTGAGCCGTGTAGCCTGGTAAAAGTTTGCCAGTGTTTCTGAGGAGCTTGCTGTATCCATCATCAGACCAACAGCCCTGAGGAAGGAGGCAGCAAGCACCTCTGAAAGGTAGGTAAACTTCTACCAGGCTACACAGATCAGCATCCAAACGGCAGCCATCTTCATACTCACGGCCGTGAAACCCTCAAATCCTAACGTCACTGTTTTGTACAAACTTTAATTCTGAACAGTGAAATATCTACGATAAATCAGCACCATTTACCGCGGCACAGGCCACATCTGATCACTGTTTCCTACATTACAAGATGTAGAGCTCTTGTCAGAACACTGATTATTCAAATACGAGGTGCGATCGGAAGGTTTCCATACTGCGCGTATAAAAATCCGTACACTTATCTCAGGTATTAAATTCATCCATCACCCTCGAGGTAGTTCCCCTGGGAGTGAACACAACGATCCCAGCGCCGCTGCCAAGCCTGGAAGCATCCCTGGAAATCTTTCTTTATCAGCCTGTCAAGCACCATCTGCGATTCTGCCTGAATCTCTTGCCAAAGACTCGCCAAAACGGCTACGGAAACCTATGAAATGCTAAAGCAAGCATTTGGGGAGTCCGCAATGGGTCGTGCACAAACTTTTGTGTGGCATTCACGTTTTAAAAACGGCCGAACTTCTGTCGATGATGACGAGCGTTCTGGACGACCATCTTCGAGCACAACGCCCGAAAATGGTACGAAGATTCGGCAGGCCATTCACGAAGATCGACGTCGTACCATAACGACTTGTGCGACATTGTTGGGACCTGTCAGCTGATTCTAAAGGAAGAACTCCACATGCGAAACCAAGGCTCCTGTCTGAGGACCAGAAGCAGAATCGACTTCTCGTTTGTCAGGAGCTAAAAGATCTTGCAAGAACCGACCCCAACTTCCTTCCTAAGCTCCGTGTGACTTCTTCCTCTTCCCAAAGATGAAAATTCAGCTAAAGGGAAGGAGATTTGAGACGATAGAAGAGATTCAGACAGAATTTTTATACGCGCAGTCTGGAAACTTTCCGATCGCACCTCGTACTATACAAAACCTTGTAGGCGTTACAAAATACCGCCTTCTGATCCGGTTACGTCACCATCCCTAATTACCGGCTGGCTTCAGTTTACTTCGATTAACGCAGTTCTCGTTTACGACGTCACAAAACTTCGGTTCCCAAACTGACATTTTAACCAAGTTTAATAGCCTATAAAACTACACATTACTTCCTTCCGGTGTATTCGGAACTTCTTACAAATTAAACTTGTTCCTTACTTCCAGGACTAAATTGCAAGGTTCTCAAAAGAAGTACTTTTCATAATATTGTTCAACTGCTTCAAATTCACAACATTCAAACACCGAAAACTCCTTGGCCCGGGCACCTTACAGCTGGGGGATATAAATACATTATTTATCTTTAATAAATAAAATAAAATTGCCTTATACACACGACATTAATCACGTAGCGAACACGAACTAGGCGATCGTATTTCTAGGACAAATGTTTCAAAAGGAACAAGTGACGTGTATGTGAAGTCAGTAGTTACTGTTCTTAAAAAGAACTTAAAGTTTTATCAATTCAGTGCATTTGACCAAATGCACACTCAACATTAACACTCATTCATAATCACTAAACCATTAAACGTTTCTGAAGTAAAAAATTATGACTGAACCACATATTTTCCAGAGGGTTGTTTTCAAAAACGTCTTCCGTCAGAGACTGCGTTCAACAAACAGACAAAACTAAACAAAAGGTTTTCGTACATATTTTCTAGCTGTGGTTATATTAACAGTTAAACTTATCAAAAGTCTTGCGAGCTCTTCAAACGTTCGAATCATAGCCTGTTGAAAACAAACTTGACTTGACTTGAATTATGTAAGTACAGTATCACAAAACGAAGCGAGCGTTCAAATTCCAGTGCAGTGACTAGCAATTCTATACAAAAACCAAATGAGTCCCAATGGCGTAGATCTACCAACAGGATTGTTAGGTGGCAGGTCTGAATAGTCCGAGTTAATGAGAAGTGTCGTATTAGATTCATTTTACGCCTTCTGGGATATCCCACACGAATTCTTCAGGTCAACGAATGTCATTAGAGGTCAGCTCAGTTACTTCAACAGAAAGACGAGAAGACAAAGATCCAGTTCTCTCTCTTACACAGAAAAGTAACAATTAGGAACAGTACTAGCGGAATAAAGGGGGCGAAAAGGGTAACTAAACGACAGACGCACAGAACATTTCGGTCTGTAACAGTGACATATCAGACGCGGACCGCTCCGAATTCAAATTAGCTCATTTCTGTTACCTGACGGCACAGTCCTGGCTCTACTAATGAGGAGTACTTCCAGACTTCACAAAGAGATAAGAATTTTCTTGAATATTTTCTCTACTTTTGCACCAGAAGGTAAAAGAGTTTAAATCATAAGAAATAAGGGCGACATATAACTATAATCCTCATGTTACTTCCTTCCCTTCATTTTACACTTCATTACTTGGTAATTTCTTACTTTCATTAAAATTAATTAAACCTAAAACTTGTGCCGTACAGTTATATAATGCACATTACTAAACGTGAGTTGAGAAAATACAAAACGACGACTTTCATTAAAGGAAGTCATGTTAAGTTGTTTCTGCAATTTCAGACGAAATAAGACAATATCGTTACTGCAAGCCTCCGTTAATTTTACAGCGTTCTTTTAATGAAACGCGTTCGATAAACGCACAGTGGAAAGGTTTATTTGTCTGTGTGTTCGTCAGTCCGAATGTTTCATCCCGATTTTGACATTTTGATTTTCGACAGGTATCTATTAGCATAAACCTCATTTTTCAAATCCGATCGAAATTCGATAAATAATTTGGAATATGTAGCATGTACGCGACAAAATATTTTTTACGATATCAGATCCCAGTGTTCTACTGTAGAATTTTTAACAAACAGAATGGCAGTATCAAAACTTTCATATTTGACATCGGAGATCTATTACTACACAAAATTTAAAAACACTAGTTTAACTTCCAAGTTAAAAATACGCAGGCAATCCCCCCCTCCCTCATATTAAATATTGTAGATTTACCCTTCCCAGCTAGCAAAATCACCGCGTCTCACGAAGCGCGAGTGCGTATTTTAAAGCCCTTGTTATTGCCATTAGTACAGCGACTGATGATTAGTGGTGATATGTGGGGTTCAGAATTTCGCAACGACATTGTTACAACCGTCGGCTCATTGTTAATTAGTCTTTCCATATACTTCCCTTGATATCTTGTCCATTCCATACACAGTGAACGAAGTACAGTCCGGATACATTCTCATTCCAGGCAACAGTGTACTTCAGCGCAAACCTAACACAGACCATGTACGATGATCCAATGTAGAAGACAACAAGTTTTTAAATTTATTTATTTACCTAAGAGCTGAAGGGGAAGAAGTACATTGCACAGTTTAAGATGTCTAGAATTCAACATTAGAAGACGCTATTGTTTCACCCCAACTACAAGGGTCCTTCTTGTTCCAGCGGAGCGTGCAGACGAGAAGACGCATCGACGTAGCACGGTACGAATGGGGATCCGTGTGGTACAACGGTGCGTGCCCCGCGTGCCAGTGACCCCGGGTTCGCCAGCACGTTCCATCGAGCAGCTAGTGGGGCCACCGCCACACGCAGCCGTAGACAAACCTTTCCTGCTAAGCGATGGACGTGTCGAACTGGAGGCGTCCCTAGACAAAGCTATGTACAGCCACGGAGAACCCATCCTGGTAAACACAGCCGTGCATAACAACAGTGGCAAGACCGTGCGTAGGATTAAGGTAAGCGCTGAGCTCAGCAACATAAGAAACAGCACAGTGGAAGGACGTACAGCTGCTCCAACTGCTACGTTTGTAACACTGCAACGGTCTGAAATTTGTACTATTAATAACTAACTAGATGGCTTACAGAACCCGAAGGTTCATCACCGAATTAACCAAAGCCCTCCGCCGGACCCTGTCCTAGGCCAACAAAATCCAGTCTCCTTCAACTCCTATCTCCCATAGATCACGCTTGATATCATCCTCCCATCTATGTCTAGGGCTTCCCAACCAATACCCGGTGCACACCTCTTGTCACATCCATGAGCGCTACATGTCCCGCCCATCTCATTCTTCTTGACTTAATCACCCTGACAATATTGGGGGAGGAGAATATTTTTTAAGTTCGTCATTATGCAGTCTTCTCCATACCCGATCCTCTTCTCTCTTAGTCCCAAATATCCTCCTAAACACCATATCCTCAAACACCTGTAATCTATGTTCCTCCCTCAGAGTGAGAAACCATGTTTCGCACCCATACAAAACAACAGGCAAAATTATTGTTTTGTGTACTTCAATTTTCAGGTTCTTAGAAATCAGACGGGAAGACAAAATATTTTGAACTGAGAAGTAGCAAGCATTTCCGGAATTTAGTCTCCTCCTAAATTCCTTATGAGTATCATTTTGATTTGTTATTGATGTTCCCAAATATTTGAACTTTGTAACACTTTCAAAATCATTTTATACACTGTACAAAAAATACATGCAAATGGCAGATATTACTTCACTTCTTTTTTGCAGGTATTTGTGGTGCAGCATGTGGATGTCTGCATGTTCTCCAATGGTAAGTTCAAGAATGTGGTGGCTCTAGTGACAAGTCGGGATGAGTGCCCTTTGGGACCAGGATCATCCCTAAGTCGCACGTACACTTTGTACCCAACTAAGGGGACTACTAAGAACTGGATAGCTCTTGAAGACTCATTCAGTAGAGCCGGAGCATCTCTAGCATCCACCGTCACAAGTGCATCCAATTCGCCAGAAGATCGAAACGTGTTCGCTATCTATGTCTCTTATTATGTTAAAGTGAAACTCCTGGTCGGGGCCATGGGTGGAGAGCTAGCATTAAAATTACCCTTCACGCTTATGCACTCCACTTCAACAATGGAACTCAATGAATCTTTGTCCTTATCCCCACCAAAATCACACCCTTCAAAAGAGGCGAGTCCATCTGCAGAGAAGAAAAAGAAGACCAATACAAGGGAGGAAGAAGATGTGATACTGAAATGTGATGAAGAGCCCACCTGAGAGTCAGAGAGCAATGCAAGGAAGTCAAGTGGTGATACTCAAAACTGTGATTTATTGAATGTCACCAATAAAAAGGAAAAGTGTAACGAGGCTGTTGAAAATCAGTTCACCAACATCAACAGACTGATGGTTCAGAGAGTACTGTGCTGTTTTGGAACCAGACGGAACAAGTGACGACACAGTGACGGCGACCACGTCTCAGAATAGTATTCGGTGATCTATGACACCTAACTACACAAAGTGAAATATCAGTAATTTAATGAAGTTGTGATTGGTAAATTACAATTTATCTAAAACTGCACATAACCAAGGCTGAAAATCACAATTCTCAAATACCTCACTCAATAAACATGATTAGACATGAGATTGACTATTCGAATTTGCTTAGTATAAGCAGAAATACTTTCTGTTTCCCACCACATTCAAAGTACCTTTGGTCTCTACACTTCAACTCCTGTCTGTTGAAAAAAAGGAGTCCTTCAAGGACCTCGGGGGGTGGGTGGGGGCATGAAACTGACCACTCACTTCCACGTAGCCCCATCCTTAAAAACCCTTAATAGAAGATTTTACTTTCATTCCCTATGTCACTGGGCACAAGGTATTTCAAACCACACCTAGGGAAATTTCTATCTACCAGTCAGAAAATTAATGAATCAGATGGTCAGTAATTTCTAACAATGTTTGATTCATTACCCTAGTATAATTACGTCATAATATCATCAGACAGCCAAGTCTGACAATTTAATAGGTGACAATAAGTGAAATAAAACAACTTTAACAAACATCCAATAAAATCGTTGGTCTTCTGGGTTGTAACTCCATGCGGAAACGATGGTATCGACCTACAAGTCTACAACAGCCTTACAACCCGCAAGACCAACATAAAATGATGATGACCTCAAATCGCATATTCCGGTAAAAACCCATTGATTTTATATTTGAACATGAAACAAGGGAAAAATGGATATAAAAGAAGACAACCTATTCCCTTTATGATAAATATAATTACAAAATAATTAACTATTATTAATGTAATATTTCTTCCAAAATGTGGGTATCCACCTAAAGTCCAGAAGACTGCCATGGAAATCTTCACCACTGTGAGAATTTCAGATCTCTAAGAGAAACACGTTCATGAAGTAAAAGCTGTATACTTTCAGAAATCTGATGAAATACTGAAGGAACATAACTTTAACAATAAGTGAAGTAGTTAACACAACACAGCAAAATGTTGAACAAAGACTGTCACACTGTTTTTAGCAAAAATTTAAATTTTATATTTAAACTTCACACCAAACGTAAGACAGATTTAAACCTGGGTCTTCTGATCACCATATTTTAGAATTCGTAAGGATGTGAAACAGGGAAGTTATGACTTATTTCAAGGGTATACTGCAGCATTCACCTAGAGGGGACTGAGGAAAGTCATGACAGTAATGATAACCATATTCCATTATGTGGTGGGGAGTTCCAGTAGAACAAGGCACTCTGAAGGAAAACAATGATTTTAAAATTTCTGAAAAAGAATCAGATTACATTCTGCTTCCTTATTAACCACTCAAATATTGTTTGTATGTTCTTAGTGTGGAGAGAGCCTAAATTTTCTACTGAATCTCAAAACTGTTGCATAAAGGATCACTGGAATTAAATATTCATGAGAGAAAGAAAGAAAAAGAAACAATTTTAAACAGCTGACAGACTGTACCTGGTGAGGAGCTAAGTGTGGCTGATATTTCCAATTTACCAAAGGCTGTGATGACAAAGTGTTAGAATTAATGAAGATGTAGAAACAAACATCTGACAGTCTGGAAGAAAGGCTAGAACCAAATGACTCTACTACTCATTGCTCTCTAAAATAATGGCCTGAAAATTTTATGGCAAGCCTCATCAGTTATTTATTCAATGAAATATTCTGTCTTCAACATAAGTAATTGCACATATCTCACACACACTACACACTGTTCAAATGAACGAAGTGGTACCGGTTGAAACACGTAACACCCCCCTCCCCCCAAAAAATGACTTGTATATTTATAGTCCACATATAGAGAAGAATATCATTATACATGTATAAATGTAACCTCCATTTATAAATTTCTTGGTGTGTTCTTATATTTTGACTACTACAGGTAAAATTTGTGTGTATCTTGTTGGTATATCTGTCAATTAAGCATGCAACATGTTTTTGCACGTAGCAAACTAAAACTGTGGTGATGTTACTTTTATCTGCAAAGCTTCATAATTTTTAATTCAGTCCTTAAATGCTGATTTTAAGTCCAAGAAAAAGAAGCAACAGAATTAACCAGGAAGAATTAGCAACATATTTGAAGTATGGGAGATCAATTGACGCAATGCTCTTAACCACCACAATACCTTATGATCAAAAACAAGTAACTACTGAGAAAATGCTGCTATTAACAAAATGTTTACTTTGCCTAAATACTAAGAAAATTTCATTGCCATATCTAATGTCAACATTGGTCACAGTGTGCATGATGGATTAACACATACTGTGATCATTAATATGACGTCAAGTGGTACAAAGTAAATAACACACATATGTTCTCTAGCCTGTTACTGTAATATTCTGTAATGAAAGCAGACAGTACTCTTTAGCAGTGTAAAATGCACCAAACTTATGGATCAGATTTTTCAATATTTGTATGTGTACTGACATAAGTCAAGATAAGAAATATACAGGATAATTGTATTTTAATAAAATATTTGAATAAAACATATTGTCAATTCAGTATAACCCTATTAACATCTACTTCTTACACTAATGTAAGGTTCCTGGCCACCCTATGTAAACAAGAAGTTTTCTCTTATTTAAATTCCTTGTCTTGCAATGACCTGTCAGAATAAACTGTCACATATTTGAGAATTCCTTATAGAGTGCCTTCAGAAATGATAAACCATATACACTTCAGCAATAAATACTATAACAATAGTTTATAAACTCAAATGATAGAATATAAAAAGCATACAGCATTTTGATGGGAACCATCTTGGAAAAAATTCACTTTGTAGATTGCAGATGTCTTTGGGAAACAGATTGTGAGGATGCAAACTGGGTCAAAGTGACTCAGAATATACAGCTCCATTTTAAGCACAAGGTGTTTCTTCAAATAGCAAATGGAGATAGTCTCCAGATAGGGAGTGTCGCAGAAAATAAAATGAATAAGAAGTTGTAGACAAATGATAAAGCTTACAGGACCTAGCAAGGACTTAGCTCCAGTTTGCTCGTTGAATCCTACTGGTAGTAGAAGGAGGGATATAAAGACCTAGTCTAAAGCATGGAACAATGGCTGCACAGCAACACAGTGCCACACCTTACTAAAGACATGAGTGATTTATCAGAATGTGCTTTTAACTGGAATATATTGGACTGACCAAAGTTCCTGTTATATTAGCAGGAAACTTTCCTCTTTGTCCACATAACCAATAATCAAAGACAGACCTTCATTTCTTAATAAGGTGCAGTAGTTGGGTGGGAGGCTAGCAATCCTCACTATATGAAACAACCATGTTATTAAATATCACAGGACCTCAAGACTTGGATGGGTTCTTCACATTCCATGTAATCAGATGCAATTAACATAATTTAAAGTGGATACAACATTGTTAAATAAGCCGTCACAGTGGCCGCGCAGTCTGAGGCGTGGGCCTTGTGCCGCTCAGACACTGGGACTGTGGGTTCGAATCTTAATCAAGGCGTGGATGTTTGTCCGTGTCATTCTGTGTTGTGCTGTCCTGTGTACAGGTAGAGGCCTTGCGACGAGCTGATCATTTGACCAAGAAGTCCTACCAAATGTCTAATAGATCAAGCAAACCTCCAAAGAGAGGAAAAAAGCAGACCCTGCCAAAGCGGGACAAATGCTAAAGAAGAAAAAAAAGCATTGTTAAATAACCTACACATCAGCCAAACATTTACTGGCACACACATCAATAAAGAATCATTAAGAAGATACTAATTTCTTATAACAGAGCAGAATTCCAATAATTAACAACAAAGCTGTCACAGTAACAAAAAACCCTGTATTATGAAAATTGTTCCATGTCTTACCATGATATTCACCCCACTTGAAGCCACGGACAACGGTTTTGACCTCTTCTGAAGAATCTGCTTTCTTTCCACCATATACTTTGATCAGAACATATTTGAATGTACCATCTGGATCAATTTCAACATCAGGAATACTTTCCAACTTTTCTGATGTCATTGAGAACACTCGTGCACTAACTATACTAATACCTGAAACAAAGACATTCTGTAATGTAATTGAGATACATGATCCTTCATTTCCAAATTCAAAAGTAGCATGTCTTTGCTACAAAATTAATGAAGAATACAGTTGATGTTAAATTGCATCTGAATGGTTTGCTTTTATAAGTTTAAGTCCAAAGTTCCCATCCTGAACTGTATGAAGATGATTACTGAAGTCAGAATGATAACAGAAAATCAACCATGTACACAAAATACTATTTTATACTATCTTCTACAAGAAAAGAAGCAACAATTTTCCGTGTAACCAAATGCTTTTTTTTACCTCTAGTGAATCAAAATGTGATGCCTATCTGTTAAATGTTTCAATTCCAAGCATTTTGTTTATAACTGATATACAAGACCCATGCTGAAATATGTAACAAAACAATGGTTTGGAAAAACTAACCAACACCACTTCATTTCCAACAAAATGTCATATATATTTCATGTTTCATACATATTACATATATGATCTTCTACTTAGCATTTTTAATTATATTAAATAAACAAAAATTAATCTCAAATAAAAGTCTGACAGCTACTTTGTTAGTGGCATGTAATTTAAGTAAAATGTAAACACTGTCCACACGGATGTAGAGCTCCATGCACCCGTAACCTCAGATCTTGAGTAAGCAGACCAGTAACCTAGATGCTTTACTCTCAATATGGTTGCAAAAAGCATTGTTAAATAACCTACACATCAGCCAAACATTTACTGGCACACACATCAATAAAGAATCATTAAGAAGATACTAATTTCTTATAACAGAGCAGAATTCCAATAATTAACAACAAAGCTGTCACAGTAACAAAAAACCCTGTATTATGAAAATTGTTCCATGTCTTACCATGATATTCACCCCACTTGAAGCCACGGACAACGGTTTTGACCTCTTCTGAAGAATCTGCTTTCTTTCCACCATATACTTTGATCAGAACATATTTGAATGTACCATCTGGATCAATTTCAACATCAGGAATACTTTCCAACTTTTCTGATGTCATTGAGAACACTCGTGCACTAACTATACTAATACCTGAAACAAAGACATTCTGTAATGTAATTGAGATACATGATCCTTCATTTCCAAATTCAAAAGTAGCATGTCTTTGCTACAAAATTAATGAAGAATACAGTTGATGTTAAATTGCATCTGAATGGTTTGCTTTTATAAGTTTAAGTCCAAAGTTCCCATCCTGAACTGTATGAAGATGATTACTGAAGTCAGAATGATAACAGAAAATCAACCATGTACACAAAATACTATTTTATACTATCTTCTACAAGAAAAGAAGCAACAATTTTCCGTGTAACCAAATGCTTTTTTTTACCTCTAGTGAATCAAAATGTGATGCCTATCTGTTAAATGTTTCAATTCCAAGCATTTTGTTTATAACTGATATACAAGACCCATGCTGAAATATGTAACAAAACAATGGTTTGGAAAAACTAACCAACACCACTTCATTTCCAACAAAATGTCATATATATTTCATGTTTCATACATATTACATATATGATCTTCTACTTAGCATTTTTAATTATATTAAATAAACAAAAATTAATCTCAAATAAAAGTCTGACAGCTACTTTGTTAGTGGCATGTAATTTAAGTAAAATGTAAACACTGTCCACACGGATGTAGAGCTCCATGCACCCGTAACCTCAGATCTTGAGTAAGCAGACCAGTAACCTAGATGCTTTACTCTCAATATGGTTGCATGAGTCCAGAGCTAGACAGGACATGGGGGCAAACAGAAAAACTGCTGCTCCCTTTGAGAATCAAACTCGTCATCCAGCCCATAACCAGTCACTGAACTGGTAAGGGCAATTCAAAGTGTTCATCACATCTTAATCAAAGGCATTCGATAAATAAACACAATTATCACAAACAGATAACGTTCGGCACACTTACAAGCTAAATACTTTCCAAGTATTTTCCAGTCAATACTAGAAAATTATTTTGCCGCCAAGAAATTTGAAAGGGTCGAATTAGCACAGATCGTTAATCTAGGGGCCGCATACAGGCTATATTCTCAGAGTTCCTGACATTCACTCCACAAACGCTAAACGACAAACATAAAATAAAAAACGGCACGTATGGAACTTGTATCTCTTTTCGCTTCGTTCGATGCCTGAATTTTCGCAACTTAATTCAATCCAATGTTCAGTAATGTAATCTAGCGGTGACACTGAGAAACACTTACGAATGTCATGTGGGAAATCACCAAAATTAACAACTGCAAACCCTTTCTCACGACAAAATGCACTAAGTCTTGAAGTATGTAAGGTCTTTTACATGTATGAATGACAACTCACAATAATGCACAAATCTAAACAATAAAAGTTACCTTTAAATAACCGTCGGAGGCTCAAGACAGTCACCATTAATACTGAACTATATGTTTAGATCATCGTAACCTCCGTATGGTTCTGAAATTTACAGGTCACAGAGATTAGTCACAGATATTTCAATTTTTTGGTAGCGTCAAACTAACTCTTTCACAATCTACAACAATGTACCGAATTATTTCTTTCGCAACATATATGTTTATGTAACCTTCAATTACGGATGAAACTAAGTCGTCGAAGTAGGATAAACTCTTGTGATTTAAATATATACGTTTATTTCATTTGAATTTGAAGTTTATTAAGAAAATATTTCCCCAGCCTGATTCGGGGAGGAAATAGTAAATGATTTCATTCTCATTATGCATTGTAATCTTGGTGTAATGTGTTCGGTAATTAGCCGACCATGACCTAGGCATTCCGTATTTTTTCTCAGATGTAAGACAAATGCCAAGATATATGATAGGGGCATATCCCACCTACCCCAAAACGTCGAGACCTCCAACAAAAGATCCCCCACCATAACGGCGTGGTCATACAAAGGTGATCCCAACTCTTACGGGTTCAACTTTCAAGTAAAATTATTTTCGCAAAGGAGATCGATGTGATCACTCTCCTCCAGCAAAGATAGGCCGTAGTCAAGGTCTTCAGCCAAGAAGAAAAATCCGTTAGTGTAGGCATATCAAACGTTAATGGCAGTCTTCTGGACGGTATCGTCTACACATCAAACGTTATAGCTTGTTAGACAGTTAAGCAATTTCAGCTATACCTTTCTTCGCAGGAACGGACAATCTGTTAGCATCACAGATTGGTTGGTATATCTGTGTTGCTATAGTCAAAGTTTAGTACATGCCCATGACTCCGCCCTCAGATTTCTGGTTGGTAAGTTGGTTATGTGATAAAGTTTGAACAAATGAGATATGTATATGGCGTAAATTCATTTGAATTATGAAAAGCGAAAGAAAGCGAATAACATTTGTTTAAAATGGTGTATGTGTCAAAGGCGCCTACAGTATGGAACTTATTAAAAGGCGTTGTTTGCATCTACAAACCAGCTGGAATTACAGCTGCTTACGTGCGAAAGATATTACTTGGAAATATTTGCAGAGGTGGGCATTTTCTAACCTAAGTGTTCCGAATCATTCACACTAATGTATGCCTATTACGATTGTTTAATTTCAATTTTTCTTCGACAGACTTATGCGAGTTAGAAACTCGACCGCCAGCAAGTCATGTCTTTATAGAAGGCAATCCGTCAACCTCATTGAATGTTCATGTTTCCCCGAGTTTTGCTGATCATCCCCTTGTTGTTGGTCCAAGGTATCAGCCAGATGATTTTCGTTGTACATGGGGTGCTCCCATTGGAAAAAATATTTCAGGGGTGTTTGGTATGTAATCACTTTATATCATCACATTATTACATTGCAAGTTGCAGAATAATTTATAGTTTTTTCAGTCTGTCTTCATTTTGTAAGTGATTAAAATTAGAATACATATAAAATTTTAAGTCCTGTGCAGGTCATGTCATACATAAGGCTTGTTTAATAACCTATGATTTTGGTGACTCAAAATCATATTAACTTTTCATTTCAGTCTTGGGTTTAAATGAAGGTAACAAAATTGTTAAGAATTTACACATGCAGCGGCCCACTAGAGTCTTCCGACTGAAGGGTTTACTAGGGCAGGCAACAGATACTTATTTCAGCGATGGCAAAGTAGTGGAGAAAGCAACATTCCGGCATGTGAATAGATCAAAATTAGATACATTAGTTGCATCTATACAAGCTGCACATCAGAAACAAATGTTTCAGTAAGTATCACCATCATATATTATGAAACAGCATAATTTAATTATCATAAATTGGGATATTAAAAATAGACTACTTGACTGCTTTCAAAACAACTGCTAATTATAATAATTTCTTTATGTTCATCTAAATCTTAAAAGAAAATGTTCCATGTAAGTTGATTATAAAACTTCAGGACACAATCAGTCCAGGCTTGCATATCATAATTTGATTCTTTATGAAGAAAGGAAACTACCATCACCAAGTGACTCACCTATCTAGGCATTTGAGGCAAGAAAACAATGCCAGTATGAGTGTGCACTGGTAGAACACATTTTCTTTTCCTTGTTAGCATAAGCCCATGCTTCAGAAGTACAAGAGCTGTGTCAGTTATGGATACCAAATGTTCCATCATATGAGTACCAATTAAGTTTCTTGATGTGTTATTCAGCCAGAGTGGTGTCGACATACAGAGCCAAACAGCATATGAACTAGCAGTACAAGGCCTGATCAAACCAGCAAACAGTAAAATTCCAATACTATATGGTATAAAGTGCATTCACTTTGAGCCACCAAATTTTACAATAGGTATGTGTTCTATGCAACTTAGATATTACGTCCCTAACAAAGTCCATGAGTATGTATATTCACAATATACCTATTTTGTATATATCTTTGGTGAACACCTACCAAGTCTTAGATATACATGCATGATGGTTTATCATTTCCCAGTAATAAATATGAAATGTTGTGGATTTGTGTTACATTGCAGAAGTGCATTTTCCAAAGTTACTAAACTTTACCTTACCTAAAATATAAATATTCTCCTTACAATTTTTTCAGAGGTGCAGTGTATAAATGAACACGAGGTCTACCTGAAGACACTGGTGCACGATATAGGGATGAAGCTGCACAGTGTTGCCACATGTACAAGTATACAATGCATCCGCTATGACAGCTTTACACTGGAACATGCACTACTACGTAAACACTGGACACTTCAGCACTTAATGGACAGCATGTCTGAAAGCAGTAGATTACTTAAGGAGACCGAAGCAGATAAAAGGCAGAAATCAGCTTTTCTAGTTAAGAGTGATATGAGCAGGCTTAAAGCACCTGTTGTGAATAATGATGAAATAGAGACTTTATACTGACAAGAAATCTCAAAACCACTTGTTAACCTGTACAAGGTGATCCATATGGGTTCAATAAAAAATGTTTTTAGACAGCAACTTGTACAACTCAGTACTGACTCCACCTACAAAGATGCAAAAAATGGGAGATTATGATTAAGACTCTTTTAGCATCTGCTATGGTGGGGGCAACAAAAACCTCCAAAATATCTGTAAACTTCTACCAGACTGCATGGTGTAAGCCAAAAGACAGCCATCTTCATTAAACAGATAGGTTGCTACTCTGCAGTCTCAATCATCCTTGATTTTCCTCAACTGCAGCACACATACAGCAAGTATTGCATAACAAATTTAATAGACTCATGAGCAACATAAGTGTAGTACCACTTACTGCTTTAATTACACTTGTCAGCAACACACAACTGGTATTGGACAAATGCATTTCAATCTACATCTTATGTCAATGCACAGGATAGTCATTAATATCCTTCAGTAAGAGAGAGAGCCATTTCTTTATTCCTGCTTTTCCAGACACATAAAAATATCTGTGTGAGTAGTCACTTTTACCATCTTTTCTGCAAAAAGCTTGTACTTGAAATATTGTTCCTGTAAATGGAATCTTAACACTTAAAAACACTCCCAAGCTTTGGGGGGGAGAGATAAGGCATTCAGACCAGGTCCCCCATATTTTATTCAAATTCTATAACATTTCTTTAATGATTCTTGTGTAACTTCAGCAACTGGTGTTCTCTCTTCAGTTTAATTTTTTATTCACATTTGCTGTTTCATTTTGAAATTACTACTGCAACTAGGCAGTATTGTAAGAGAATGTCAAACAGACAACAAATCAGAAACTTATTGTTTCAGATTGTGAGAACAAATTTTTATTAGTGGCTTTTTGGTCTATACATGATGCTGACCCACTTTTAGTGCCCCCCCCCATGAAACCCCATTTTCCTTACAGTGCAGAAAATCCAAAAGTTTTCATGAAGTTTCTCTTCATGACAAAATAAACTGGTGTTTGGTATACAATAAGTACATGCAGGAAAACTGGATGTATCTTTTACAATACATGGCACACACAATTTTGGAAGCACTACCAGGGGTTTTTCATGATCACATTATTAGCCATGGTTTATGGCCACCACTATCTCCTGATTTAACACCTTGTAACTTT